ATATATAAAGAGAAAGAGAGAGAAATTTACTTCAAGGAAATAGCTCACACAATTGTGAGGAAATGGTTCAGCAATTGTGGGGGCTGGCAAATCCCAAATCCGTTGGTTAGACAACAGGCTGATGACCTCTGCTGGTGCACATGGTTGCAGGGGCTGACAAACCCAAAACCTGCAGGTCAGGCGACAGGTTGGAGGCCTCTGCTTGCTTACATCCCAAGAACTGGAGGTCAGACACCATGAAGATTGCAGGTCAAGAAGATTACCCACTAAGGAAGGCATGCATGGGCTTAATTGTGCTTATTTATTAATCTGTAGTGCACATTTTCACCTGGGAAACTAGTGAAATTGTTCACTACAGATTAGTAAGTAAGCACAATTAAGCCCGAGTATGCCTTGCTTGCTGCAAGCCAGTGCTACCATACTTACTGGTTAATTAGCTCCTAGTCGAGAAAGAGCGAGCTTTTCCAGAACATCCATTTATATACTGGATGCAAGCCACACAGACTGGCTGCTAACATCAGATCACAAAATGGGAGGTGATTACACAGTGTCTGCCAAACCACTGAGAATCACAGCTGTAAAAATGTGGCAGGGGCGTCTGACGTCCTCTAACTTCCCAAGGGGAAGAGAAAATCATTATCAACAGCCCAAGGCTGATTCCTATGAGGAGGAGGGCAGACATTCCTCCTCTTTCCAACCTTTTTGCCAATTCTGACACCAACCATCCCTCCCAAGGCACTCTCTACTTCTCTGCTGGGTTTGATGATTTGTTACAATGGCCACACAGAACTCACAGACAGTACTTATGATTATGGGGTGGGTTTATGAGGGAATTAACAGTTTACAATTCAGGTTCAGGAACGCTCAGGATATAGTTCTTCCACCAGGACAGCCTCTTTTCAGCAGTGCAGCATGGACACTTCTCTCTGGCCCCTAGGCCTCTGCCCTGCTGGGACAAAATGTTACAAAGCTCTTTTAGCTCTGCCTGTAATTTCCCGAGGGCACTCAGCTTTCTCACTCTGTGGGCTGGGAAGCCCCACCTCAGCCTTCTCATGCCAGTCTCCTGATTCCTGCCTTCTCATGCTGTCCTCCATATTACAGTTCCTCTCTCTGTCTCTTGGATATAGAAGGATCTCAGTGCAGGGATCTCGGGTCCAAAGGGCATGCTCCACTTCTGCCTTTTCTTTCTTAGAGGTGTTGAGATCCTCCCTTCCCACATCTGGGATGGCTCATTTTAAACCTAGCAGGATGGTAAAAGTAACCAATCCCTCCATATGGGCTCCATACACTTTATGTGCATAGTCCTACCCAAATGAGGGTGCCGTGCACTTTATTTACATTATCCAATCCCCTTAGTGGGCCACAAGCACCTCATTTGCACAGTCCCACCCAGTCATTTGGTGGGAGTTATAAAGACTATGGCTAGATGGGCCATATTAAGTAATTCACTGCACTGCAATAGCCTAGCCAAGTTGACATGTAATATTAGCCATCACACACCCCGTCTCCTTTGTGTGTGGATGGGACCTATGACTTGCTTCTAACAAACCAAATATGGCAAAAGTGATGGGATGGCACTTCTGAGATTAGGTTATAAAAACTATGACTGTTGTCTTGCTTGGATTCTCTCTCTTCTTGGCCCCTTCTCTTGCCCTCTTGCATGCTCACTCTGATGCAGCAAGGAACTGAAGGCAGCCTCCACCAACAGCCTGTGAAGAACTGAATCCTGCCAATAACTATGTGAGTGAGCATGGAAGCAGCTCCTTCCCTAGTTGAGCCTTGAGATGACTGCAGCCCAGCCAACAATTTGGTTACAGCCTGTGAGAGACTCTAAAGCCCAGGACCCAGCTAAGCCTGATCTACAAAAACTGTTGAAATGATAAATGTTGCTGTTTCAATCTACAAAGTTTTGGAATAATGTGTTATAGCACAAGATAATGTAGTGTCCTTTATTTCTTCCAACATATTTCACGTTCTGGTACATTGTGAACCTGACAATTTCAGTATCTGGAGTCCTTGGGGGTCTACACCTATTGAGGGTTGTTTCTGTGTACTCTAACATATAGTCCTCACCACTGTGCTGGTGGTCTTCATTTGTGAACTCACTACTTGGATTGATTTGAGTCCTGTGGGGAGAATTTACTTCTACTTCTGTGTGTTGCCCGGGGTGACACCAACCTGTAATTGCTTCAGCTGCCCTGGAAGGTCCTGGCTTAGCTGGAGAACCAGACTCATTTTTTTCAGTTCACAACTGTCCCTGTGCTCTTGGCAATGCCAATGAAGCCCCTTCCTGGTGCATGCAGTTCTTCCCCCAGACCCCCTTCATTTTTGTTATTCTCTGTTTTTTTGGGAGGTGGGGAGGAGAAGGGAGCAGGAGAGAGGGAATCCTTGAAGGCTATCCCTACCTCTTATGAAACCACCAGTGTCTCAAAAACGTTAGTACACCTATGCCATCATAATTTCAGAAGCCGAAGTCCAGTTTAAGATATCTAATTTTATCATTTACTATTCCTGATACATAAATAGAACTGCTTAAAAACCAATTAATTCAACCGTTCAAGCATTCAACTCATCTAAAGAAAAGTTTCTTTATAGTTAACAGGGCAGAATTTAATTTTAGGTACCATTTTAATATTCTTACCTGTTGACTGTTTTTCCTTTCTCTATGTTATTTTTATTTTCTTTAAAAAATTATTAAAAATTTAATTACACTGGCATAAAAAAGGGAGGGGGATCTTTGCTAGATTAAAAGAAACTTAAGAAACATAGTGTCTAATAAATTGTGTGTGGTTCTTGTTTTAATCCTGGTTCAAACAAAACAGTTGTAAAAAGCCATTTTGAGAGAATTGGGGAAATTTGATTATGGACTCGGTGTTAGATGATACTAAGAAACAACGGTTAATTTTGTTAGGAGTGATAATGGTACAGTGGTTATGTAAGAAATGTCCATACATTTTTAGATGCCTGCCAAACATGTAGAGGTAAAATGATAAGACTTTAGGGATTTTCTTTAAATGACTTCAGTCAAGGAGATAAACGAAAAAGGGGCGGATAAAGTAAATGTGGCAAAATGATGCTACTGCTGTGTTCAAAGCGAATGCACCTTTTATGGCTTGAAAATATACTGCCAAAGTGCATTGGAGCAAGTTGACAATGCATGAGACTTCTCACTTCACTCAAACCCTTCTGCCCCCATAGACGTTATCGTTCTTTTCAGTATTTATTAACATGAAAATCATAAGCTGTTATCTCACTGGGCTGTTAGCACTTTCGAATTAATGAAGATGAGTTTTCATATGCTTATCGGCCCGTTTTAATTTTTCTCCCTGAAAAGACTGGTCAGAATCCTCCCCATGTTTTAAAAGACAAAGTATATCTATTTTTGTAAATTCTTGGTAATTAATAAGATTTTTTGTATGTAGTAAATTTCCGTCACTATATATGTTACAAATATTTTCCCAGTTTATGGTCTTTCAATTTAGTTATAGTCTTCTGTGGACAAATTTATCAATATTTTAAGTTTTCTGGTTTTGCCTGTGAAGAAACTCTTTTCTAGTCTTCAAGATTATACAGTGTGATTCTTTCTTACTTCGGATAGTTTCATGGTTTCATTTATTACATTTACGTTTTTAATCCACCTGGAATGTATTTATGTCCTTGGCCAATTCCTGGCCCCTCTCCCAGAAAACAACCATCAGGTGTTGCCTAGCAACCTCCACTTGAGTTGGAATTAACGCTTCTTGCGGAGGAGGGGGGGCGGGGGGGATGGGTAACAGCTGCACTCCTTTCCAAGTTGACTGCAACCTTAAATCATTGCCTAGCAACCCTGTTTCCGGAGATGAGATTGGACCTTTCCGCAAGCTTCCATCCGCCAGAAAGAACATAACAATAAACTTAATCTCCTTTTTAGAAAACAAGGGCAGCCTAGTTGCACAGCAACCAAACCTCTCGCCCAAGACCGATTTTGATTAGAATGGTAAACAGCGGTGACCCATTCAAAGATGGCGGCAGACAGCCACTTTGAATGTGTGTAGCTCTCCACAGCCCCGCCAATAATCCAATCTCCGGCATCAGGCTCCTAAAAGAATTCACTAAGCCTCTTCCGAGTCTCCCATTCTGAAGGAACAAGAAAGGAAAGAGATGGCACAAACGCGCTCTGGATGCCTTGCACAAACATGGCCGCGGGTGCGTCAGCAGCTGCAGGAAGCCGCCCCGCACGGGGGCGCGCGCAGCGCAGGCGCACTTCCGGTCATTCCGCGGAGGTGGCGGTGGTGGAGGTGGTAGTTGCCGGTCGGGGCATGGTCCCCGGTTCCGAGGGCCCGGCCCGTGCCGGGGGCCTGGTGGCCGACGTAGTGTTTGTGATCGAGGGCACGGCCAACTTGGGGCCCTACTTCGAGGGCCTCCGCAAGCACTACCTGCTCCCGGCCATCGAGTGAGTGCGGTTTCCGCGACTCCGGCCCCGCCCTCCAAGTTTAGTTTTCCTCAGCTTTTTGCCTCTGACCCTGACCTTTCACTTCCTACCCTCACAGGTATTTTAATGGTGGTCCTCCTGCGGAGACAGACTTTGGGGGAGATGTGAGTCTCGGGATCCCTGCGTCTGAGGGAGGAGGGTCCGGGGAACATGGACTCCCGGGTCTGAGGGAGGAGGGGCCGGGAGACATGGACTCTCGGGTCTGAGGGAGGAGTGGCCAGGGGACTGGACTCGCGGGTTGGAGGGAGGAGGGCCCCGGGAGACATGGACTCCCGGCTCAGAGGGAGAAGGGGATCGGGGGCCCACATTAAATGTTCCGTTTTCTTATCCTCTCAGTATGGGGGGACCCAGTACAGCCTTGTCGTATTCAACACAGTGGACTGTGCTCCCGAGTCCTACGTACAATGTCACGCTCCTACCAGCAGCGCCTATGAGTTTGTCACCTGGCTCGATGGCATTAAGTGAGCTTCTTCCCTGCTTGGGGCGGGTTGGGGAATCCTGTGAGGAAAAGTGAATGTATGGTTGCTTGGGCGTGAGCTACAAGAGCCATTCACTCACTGGGTGGCTGAAAGGACTCTGAGGAGGTTATGTGTTTTTGTTCCTAAGTCACTTTTGTGGCAGTTTCTGTATGTCATTCGGTTTGGAAGTAGGAAAAACTTACCAGTCAGATAGGCTTGGTTGAGTTCTAGCATCTGCCTCAGACTCCATCAGTGACTGGGCTGCACCCTACCCTTACTGCCTGCTCTTTCTTATCTACTCCAGGCCTCTTTTTCAGATGGGTACATTGATGCCAAGGAGCCCTGGTTGCACAGTGGTTAAGCACTTGGCTGTGCTTAACCACTTCAAATCCACCCAGCAGCTCCATGGGAGAAAGACCTGGCAATCTGCTTCCCTAAAGATTACAGTTTAGAAAGTCCTGTGGGGCAGTTTTACTCTGTCACATGGGGTCACTAAGAGTCAGAGTTGACTGAACAGCAGCTAACAACAACCTAACAACATTGAAGCCTGGTTGCAGGGGGGCCAGGGCTAGGCCTAGTGGATCCTTCTGTGGTTTCGGTTGGATTTTGATCATTCATATTGCAGACCCTGGAGTTAGACAGCCCCAGGTCCAATGACATTTAGACCACAGCCTAACTCTCAGACCCAGGAGTCCCTACTCCCCTGTGCCTGATGTAGGCCAGGTGTAAAAAACAGACATTGACTGTATTCATATTAGTTTTTATTGTAGTGCCTATCCATTGTTGTATAACTGATTAAGGTCCCTGGGTTGGGCAAACAGTTTGGGCTTGACTACTAACCTAAAGGTTGGTGGTCCAAACCCACCCAGCGGTGCCATGGAAGAAAGGCCTGGTGACCTGATCCCATAAAGATTACAGCCGAGAAAACTCTATGGGGCAGTTCTACTCTGTAACACATGGGGACGCCATGAGTTGAAGTTGATTCAACTGCAACTGTTTGGTTTTGTACAACAAATTACCCCAGAATTTAGTGGCTTCAAACAACAAATGCTTATTATATTATCTCAGGCAGTTTCAGTGAGTAAGGAATTGAGGAGTAGCCAAGCTAAGAGGTTCTGGCTCAAGGTCTCCCATAAGATTGCAGCCAAGATGTTGGCCAGGACTGCAGTCATCTGAAGGCTGGACTGGGGCTGGAGGATCTGCTTCCAAGTTGAGTTCCTCCCATGGCTGCTTTAGTGTCCTCTCAGCGTGGCAGCTGGCTCTCCCTAGAGTAAGTAGTCCAACAGAGATCGCAAGTAAGGAGCCACAAGGCATAAAAAAGCGTCAGAAATCACATACCGTCACTTCTGCCACATTCTGTTTGGCATACAAGTCAGCCATGTTCATTGTATAGGAATGCCCAGGATGCATTTTGTACTTTGATCCTTGGTAAACTTCCACATAGCCTTCAAGACCCAATGAGGGCACTCCACGAGGGCATGAATACCAGGAGGCAGGGATTGTCCAGGGTCGTCTTAGAGGCTGGCTACTGTGACCTCATAGGGTCATTTTTATAACTAAATACATCAATGACAGATGATAGCCAAGAAAACCTGTAAGGAGCAGTTCTACTCTGAAATATATAGGATCGCCATGAGTTGGGGTCTTACTGGATGACAGCTAACAACAGGACGTAACAAATGCTTTCTAAACACCTTAATTACATGTCTGCTCTTCCCAATCAATTTAGAATACAATGTCTATTTAAGCCAGTAAAAAAACTTTGTAAACTCACTGTGGAATTCCCCCAGTCCGCTGATAAAATATATGAGCCCTTATTTAACATTCACAGTAGTTATTGTCATAAAATCTCTTGTGTAGTTATCTAAATACTGCTCTTGTTTTACCTGAGGTAGATCTCTAACAGGGAGGGCATGACAATCAGGTATCGTTCACACTCTGTAAAAATGGCTTGTGGATGGCGTCTGACCTTGTCTAACTTCACGGGGGTGGGAATGATCAGCATCAGCCCAAGGCTCATTCCTCTAAGGCAGAGGTCAGACATACCTCCTCCCTCCAATTTTTACCAATTCTGACTCCAGCCGTCCCTCCCATGGCACTCTCTACTTTTCTATTGGGTTTGATAGTTCATTGCAACGGCCAGACAACTCACAGACCATACTCACAATATGGGATTTATTAAGGAAGTACCAAAAAAAAAAAAAAACAACCAAACCACTGCCGTCGAGTGAAGTCTGACTCACAGTGACCCTATAGGACAGCGTAGAACTGCTCCATAGGGTTTCCAAGGCTGTATATCTTTACAGAAGCAGACTGCCACATCTTTTTCCCACAGAGCAGCTAGTGGGTTCAAACCACTGACCTTTTGGTTAGCAGAGGAGTGCTTTAACCGCTGCCACCAGGGCTCCTTATTAGGGAAATAACAGGTTACAATTCGGGATCAGGAACAACTCAGGAGACTCAGAATATGATTTTTCAGTCAGGAGAGCTCTTTGGCTGTGGCTGCAGGCAGACCTTTCCCTTGGCCCCTGGGCCCCTTGGGCCAGCCTCTGCTCTGCTCGGACAAGTGTTAAAAAAGCTCTAGCTCCCCGATAAGTACCTAGAGTCATCCTACTCCGCCAGGAAGCCGCCTGCCCAAAGGCAGTTGGCGCTCTTGCTTTGGGCTGGCAAGCCTACTATAACTGACTAGCTCTGTTGGCTGGGAAGCCCGCCAGTCTGTCTTGCACTGGTCTCCAGGTTCTGCTGCCACTTTTTCTCTGCTGCTGCTTTGCGCTGTCTCCTGGGTCTAGGAGGTTAGCATGGGGACCCTGGGCCCAAACGACATAGTCCACTCCCGACTTCCGTTCTTGGTGGTAGTGAGGTCCCCTGTTTCTGTCTCTGGGATGGCTTATTTTAAGCCTAGAGGGATGGCAAAAACTGACCAATCCCCTTTATAGGGTTCCATACACCTTATTTGCATGGTCCTACGCTTACAAGGGTACCATGTTTCTTATTTGTATCAGCAAGCTCTCCAATCCCCTTGGTGGGCTACAAGCACTTTATTTGCATAGTCCCACCCAATCTTCCAGTGGACATTACCATGGCTAGAAAGGCCATATACGAGTGATCCATCGCGCTTCACACCCAGAGAACTCTTCTACTAGAATGTCAGTAACTTGAGGAACAAAGAGTGTAGTCTGATTTTCACAATGTCCTTGCTTTGGGAACATTTATTTCAGATGTTAACTTTCTACAAAAGACACCCACCCCGCCACAGCTGCTCTTGTCCTTAGTTACCGTCAGTTTGATTCTGACTTACAGCGACCCCATGTGTGCAGAGTAGAACCGCTCCATAGGATTTTCAATCCTGTGGCCTTTCGGACGCAGACTCTCAAGCCTTTCTTCTGAGATGCCTCTGAGTAGGTTTGAAGCACCAACCTTTTGGCTAGTAGTTGAGTGCCTTAACTGTTTGCTCCACCCAGGGGCTCGCACAGCTAGTGACCTGGGTTTAGAAAGAATAGAGGTAGGAAGGGAAATAACTCCTCGAAGTCCCTGGGTGATATAAACCGTTAATGTGCTTGCCTGCTAACTGAAAGGTTGAAATTTTGAGTCCACCCAGAGGCGCCTGAGAAAAAAGGTCTGATGATCTATTTCTGAAAATCAGCCATTGAAAATCCTATGCAGCACAGTTCTACTCTGACACTCGTGTGGTTGCTATGAGTTGGAGTCCACTCGACAGCAACTGGTTTGATTTTTTTTGTTTTAGTCTTCCACATAGTGTTCTGACCATTCATCTGTTCCTTCAGCACGTGTTTGTGAGCACCTGGCTGCGCCCAGCGCTGTCCTGAGCACTGAGGAGGAGTCAGTGGGGAATGAGACTGCAAGGGCCCAGGCCTCATTCGTGGGGGTGACAGGCTGAGCAGAGGGCCCGGCACTCAGGAAACCCTCAGTAAAAACATTCATTTTGACCAGGACCTCCCGGGCCTTTGGGGGCCTAGTAGCCCATGAAAGTGGGAGGCGATGAAGGCTCAAGGGAATGATATTGGGGAGAACAAACAGGGGTGGCTTGAGTCACACAAAGATCCATCTAAATAGGTTTGATTTCTTCAACAACAGACAGATGGGCACCAGGGTGGATCCAGGGTTGGTCATTCCATGGGTTCCACTCTAAATTATGTGGTCTTAAAATTCCTGTGCGAAATAGGGTCTTTTTTTCTAAAAATTTTAATGTTTTAGTTTTGTTTTTGTTGAGAATATACACAACGGAACATACACCAATTCAGTTTCTACATGTACAATTCAGTGATATTGATAACATTTTTCAAGTTGTACAACCACTCTCACCCTCATTTTCTGAGTTGTTTTTCCAGGTTAACATGAACTCACAGCCCCGTAAGTGTCCTAGCTAATCGTTCAAAGTGCTGTTGTCAGTTTGATCCCAGATAGATAGTCCTTTAATCCTTTTGTGAACCATGTATTTTCTGCTTTGAATTTTTTGTTGATACCGTGTGTTTTCATTAATGGAAGCATGCTGAATCATTGAGTGTGTCTGAATTTTTGGTAGGTAGGATGGATTTTTTTTCCTTGCTCCCTCCCACAGGCCTATTCTAAGTATTTAATGATACATAGGAAGTGCTATAATTATACCTGAGTCCCCACCAGGGTCTGTTGGTAAAGATGTATAACAAAAACTTTTAGAATTTCTGTTTTTCCTACCAAAAATTCAGACACCTTGTATAATATCGTATAAAAACAGTAATTTGCGCCACACGCCTGTTTCTTCGGTTTCAAACAGTGATAAAGGCCCCTGCCTTCTGGCAGCACGCACTGTCGGCGGTGCAGCAGCTTCCAAATAAACCTTTAGAGGCAGAAAAAATACTTGGTCCCTAGAATGTGAGCAGAAAAGAGTTAAAAGAGCACAGTGTTGAAGGCAGACATTCTTTACCTGTTAAGCTACATTATTGTTTGGTTTTAAGAAGACTTTAGGATATATTTTGGTTTAAGGTTTAAAGATTATCTCAGGGCAATAGTTTCGGAGGTTCATCCAGCCTCCATGGCTCTAGAAAGTCTGAATTCCATGAGAACTTCAAGCTCTGTTCCACATATTCCCCCTTTTGATCAGGATTCTTTTATAGTATCTTTGATCAAAATACTCAGTAATGGTAGCTGGGCATCAGCCAGTTCTGCTCTCATGGCAAAGGAGGCAGTTCATGGAGGCACAAAATAGGGTCCCCCCCATCATAGTCCATTTATTTATTTATGTTTGCTTATTTTATTTTTTATTTTGTTGTTGAGAATATACACAGCAGAACATAACACCAATTCAACAGTTTATACATGTACAATGCAGTGACGTTGATAAGATTTTTCGAGTTGTGCAACCATTCTCACCCTCCTTTTCTGAGTTGTTCCTCCCTTGTTAATGTAAATTCCCTGCTCCCTAAGGTTCCTACCTAATCTTTTGAGTTGCTGTTGTCACTTCAATCCCATATAGATCTCAAAAGAGCGTAATGCTCAAGGCGGACACAAAATAGGATCTTGATGGTGAAGAAGAGGAGGAGGGCTGGGGAGTGGCTGTTGGGTAAGGAGCCGCAGCTGGTACTGAGTGCTGTGAGAGGCAGTCCCCTGGCTTGGGACACTCAAGGCCTAGTGGGCGCAAGGATGGGAGTCTGACACCCAAACAAATGGGACGAGAAACTCGGATGGGGAGTGAGGGGCCCCGCCACATTGGCTCTCTGCCAGGCTGCCAGCGTGCTCATTTGTTCCCCCAGTGTTTCCAAAGTTTCCCGAGGCCCTTTGTCTTTGGGCACATCAGTGAGACAGACAGCAAGATGAGAGGGTCACCGTCAGTGAGGACCACACAGGCAGTGGAGGTTGAGGGGAGATAGCGTATCGGGTGACGTGATGTGATTGAGGCTGGACCCTTAAGTCGGGGCCAGCAGGGAAGGCTTCACAGAGGAGAGGATGCCGGCGTGGGTATTGTGATAAGGAGAGTTTTTACCCGGGCCAGAGGGTAGTGTGTGCTAGTTGTGTATATTAGTTTCTTTGAGCAGCTGTAACAAAGCACCACAAAGTGGGTGGCTTCAAATGTCAGAAATGTATTCTCTCACAGTTATGGAGCCTAGGGGTCTGATTTCAGGTGTCAGCAGGCCCTGCTGTCTCCGAAGGCTCTAGAGAGGGATCCCTCCTTGCCTCTCTCCTAGCTTCTGGTGGTTGCCGGCAGTCCTTGTTTATCCTTGACCTGTAACTGTATCACTCTGGTTCCTGCTTCCATCTTCACGTCAATGTTTTCTCCCTATTGTTTCCTGTTTTTCTGAAAGGACACCAGTCATGCTGGATTAGTGCCCATCCTACTCCTAGACCACATGTTAACTTGCTTATATCTGCAAAGGCCCTATTTCTAGATAACGCCACAGTCACAGGTTCAGGGTGGGCATGGATTTTAGGGAGATTCAACCTGGTAGGAAGGGACAGCCTGTGCAGAGGCCTGGAGGCATGAAAGAGCCATGGGGTCAGGAACACGTGAGACATTCTGGAGGATTGAACCCATAGCGGGGATAGTGCACAAAGGGTGGCAGGGTCAAGGGCACAGAGGGCCCCAGGCACCTCGCTTAAGAGCATGGGTTCATTCTAGCCTGGATGGATGTGGCTGGACTTGTTGACTTTTGTTTATTTAACACGGATTCCCCCGAGGCCTCCTGTGTGCCAGGCAGTAGTCCGTGGGACTGGGGACAAGAGGACTTGGACTCCACCCCTGCCTTGTGGGGGAGGAGGTGCAGACACAGACAAGAGATCACAATGCAGGGGACAGTGTCCTCGGGCTCCCAGAGGGGGACCCATTCTGGCCTGGCATGGTGGGAAGGGGCAGCCTCATGCCCATGTGATGTGGAGGGTTGTGGCTGGAGCAGCTGCACTTGAGCAGAGGCCTTCCCTACGCCCCATGCCAGGTGGTGACAGTCACTGGTGGCTTGTCGGAATATCAGGTGGAAGAAAAGCCTGAGTCCTGAGGGAGGGTGGAAGAGGCCACGTCTTGGCCAGGAAGGTGGGGGAAGCAGGCTGGCTCTAGAAGTGGAGCTTGTGGCCCAGAGAGGGGCAGGCAGGAGGGTCCACAGGACACCAGAGTCCCAGAAGGATGGACGTAGCACGGGACCCTGGACCCCCTCCCCGCCTCATCTCTGACATGGCCTCTGGCCACAGTTTCTCCATCACAGCTCTTCTGAGTTAAGATGACAAATGTCCTGTTCTTGTTTTCTTTGTCTGGCACTGTGCCAGCACCGAGGCCAGAACAGGGCCCTCAGTTGTGTCCCCATCGTCCCGAGGCACGCAGTCCAGCACAGGGAGGGGGCAGCCAGGGAGCAGCTCCTCACACATGAACTCTGTGCTGTAGGGCCGCTGAGGGCTGAGTGTGTGTCCCTGCAGGTTCATGGGTGGCGGAGGCGAGAGCTGCAGCCTCATCGCGGAAGGCCTCAGCACCGCCTTGCAGCTGTTCGACGACTTTAAGAAGATGCGGGAGCAGATGTGAGTGCACCCAGGCTGAGTGCCCACCAGTCTCTTCTCCCACTTTGCCTGTCATGTGACTCCACCCCTCACTCACGCTGGAGAGCCCAGCAAGGTCTCTGTGCCTAAGTGCTGGGAGCCAGGAGTTGGGACTAGTGTCTGTCAGCAGGGCGTGTCCTTAGTGATGCCTGGCCAGTGTCAGGTGTCAGCATCCCTGCCGGGAGGAGGACCTCTAAAGGAGCCATCCTGGGTCCTGGTCAGCCAGATCTGGGTGTCCTTCCTGCCTGCTGGGCAACTTAGAGCCAGCCACGTCACCTCTCTGGGCCACAGCATTTCATCTGTAAAATGGGGCTGTTGCCCCTGACTTCATGCGGGTGGGGGACTTGTACCTATGCCTGGTGCTGGGGCTGGGTCCCTCCTCAGGGCCCCTGCTGCCACCCGCTTCAAGCCTCTTCTTGTTCCCAGTAGTGGCCAGACTCACCGTGTCTGCCTTCTCATCTGTAACTCGCCGCCATATCTGCTGCCCGCTGTGGAGAGCACCACGTACTCCGGTTACACGACAGAAAACCTTGTGCAGAAGATTGGGGAGGTGGGGGTCCTGGGGCGGAGAAGGGGGCTGGAGTCCTGGACTCGTGCATATGAGGGAAGAGGGTCCAGAGGTCACAGAATAGTCATAGACTTAGTGGCCAGCTCTGCTTACTCTTGTTGAAAGAACCCTAGCTCTCCATCCCCCGGGGCAGTGGCATCAGTAGAGGGATGTGGGGGGTGTGAATTGCACTGGGTGACACTGTTGGGATGACACCAGAATGACTGTCTATAAAATTTTTGTGCAGTGTTCAGCAGAAATTTATTATTTTTTATGAAAACATATCTGTAGTTAGTTATAACAACAAAAACATTTTTCGTAATTCCAGCTTATATGTATCAGTGTACCTACAAGGCTAAAACTCTGCTAATTTGCTTTTTGAATTTTTTAACGCACTTAGGGCAGAGCTGTCATTATCACCCAATTACAGTGATGCTTTGAATCACGTGGTTTCATCCGCACTCACTGCAAGCACGTGCTGTTTTTGTTGTTGCTGATGTTTTCATAGTTGCTGATTTTGCCAAATTTTCTGGTGTTTTAGCTATAATATTGTGGTAATTGGTATTTGTGAACCTATATCAATAACATTTTTGAGAATGAAGTAATAATTAAAGGAAAAGGAGTAATGTACAAGATGTGTGACTTACAAGTAACGTTAGTACAGAAAACATCATGGAGGATTTTGTGTGGTCTGGTGTGGGGGAGGTCCGTGCGGGTGGTGACTCCATGAGTTGCTACACTGGGTGACAGCAACCCTAGTGACACCACTGCCCTGGGGCAGCTAACGCCATGTCTAGTGGACCCTGCCCAAGGCCTGCTAGGAGGTGTGGTTTTAGGGCCCAAGGGGCCGGCCTCCCACCTCCCTGAGGAAGGCCCCATCCTAACGACTTTCCCCTTCTCGTAGCGTGGCATCCACTTCTCCATCGTGTCGCCCCGGAAGCTGCCTGCCCTGCGGCTTCTATTTGAGAAGGCAGCTCCCCCAGCCCTGCTGGAGCCACTGCAGCCACTGACAGATGTGAGCCAGGACCCCCGGCACATGGTGCTGGTGCGGGGGCTCGTGCTGCCTGGTGAGGCCTGGGTGCTGGCTGCGGTGGGAGGGGGACGACCTCCCCAGCTCACTCTGAACTGGCTGTCCCTCTCCTCTCTCCCCTCGGACCCCTTCTCATCATCCTGGCTCTTAGTCGGAGGTAGCTCAGCCCCCGGCCCCCTCCAGCCAAAGCAGCCTGTCCCGCTGCCTCCAGCCCCCACGTCTGGTGCCACGCTCTCAGCAGCCCCCCAGCAGCCTCTGCCCCCCGTGCCCCAGCAGTACCAGGTAGGGCATCATCAGGAGGAGAGTGTGCTCCTGGGGCTTGGGGAAGCCCTGTGATGATGGGGTGATGGGAGTCTCCCTTGGGACATGGGGGTGTGGGGGTCTTGGAGGCCTGGGCTCATGTCCCCATGGAGTGAGGGGAATCATGACTTCATGAGATACTGGCACGGGGTGGCTCTGCCTTGCGGGACTGGGGCTACATGGTCTTCACGCCACCCTCACCCTCTCCCCTCAGGTCCCCGGGAACCTGAGTGCAGCTCAGGTGGCCGCCCAGAATGCAGTGGAGGCTGCCAAGAACCAGAAGGCTGGCCTGGGCCCACGCTGTGAGTCCTGAGCGAGGGGGTCTGGCAGGCTTTCCTCCTCACACCTGTCTGTCTCCTCACACCTTTCTTCTCACACCTGTTGCCTACTCTCTCCCACAGTCTCACCCATCAACCCACTCCAGCAAGCTGCTCCAGGGGTGGGTCCCCCCTTCAGCCAGGCCTCGGCCCCCCCGCTGCCCCCAGGGCCCCCTGGTGCCCCCAAGCCACCTCCCGTGTCCCAGCCCAGCCTTGTCTCCAGTGTGGCTCCTGGCCCCGGCCTGGCCCCGCCTGCGCAGCCCGGGGCACCGTCCATGGTAGGTGCCAGCAGTTCCCCCCCACCCCCACCCCCACTGCCCTCTTCCTCCTGGCTGAGAAGGGGCAGAAGATGAGAAGTTTGCCTTCTTGAGAAGGGCCCAAGGGGTTGTGGTTCTGAGGCTTTGGGCTTATGTGCCTTGTGCTGCTGCCAGCTGACTCTGAAGCTAGAGACTAGAGAGCCAGGGAACAAGATTGTGGCCTTGTGGTTCCTATGGGTCAGGGTGGGTTAAGGAGCCTAAGGGATCCTGGGATTTTAGTTCTGGAGTCCAGAGCATCATGGACCTGAGGTCCTAGAATCTCAGAGTGTCAGGCAGGGTAGTGTCCTGGTGATAGGGGTGCCTGTTCTGTTTGTCAGGATGACCCCTCCCAGGAGGTAGTCTGACCCCACCCTCATAGCCCTCCTTTCCCCTCTGGCAGGCAGGCTCGGTAGCCCCGGTGGGGGTGAGCGGCCCCTCCCCTGCCCAGCTGGGGGCCCCAGCACTAGGAGGGCAGCAGTCGGTCTCCAACAAACTCCTGGCCTGGAGCGGGGTCCTCGAGTGGCAGGAGGTGAGTGGACTGGAGGACCCATGTGGGCTCAGTGGGGTTCAGGGGATTGGGTGGGTGGAGCTCACATGGGGGCTGGGGAGCCGGGGTGCAAAGAGGTTTTGGGCAGGGTTCAGGGAGCCGGGTGAGCAGGCTCACAGAGGGTGGGTGGAGTTTAGGGGCCCAAGCCAGGGCCCCAGGGGTGTGGGACTTGTGGCCCCAAGGAGCCATAGGATTTGTGGCCCAGAGTTTAGTATGAGACAGGTATTAAGAATTGTGTTTCAGATGCAGAACCCAGAGAAGTGTGAGATATGGGGTCTAGGCAGAGATCCAGGACCTTGTGACATCAGGGAGCCAGAGGAGTGTGGGGTTTCAGGGCCAGAGGAAGAGCCCAACACTTAAGGAATTTGGAAGTTAGAGGATTGTGGGATTGATGGTCTGGGGAGGGGCCTAGGCTCATGAGCTTTGGGGAGTCCAAGGTGGGGGCAAGCGGGGGCCTAGGGGAATGCGGCTTAGTCCCCTCATCCCTGTATACCCTTCTTGCCCCTCAGAAACCAAAGCCTGCCTCTGTGGATGCCAACACCAAGCTGACGCGCTCCCTGCCCTGCCAGGTCTATGTGAACCATGGAGAGAACCTGTAGGTGACTGTGATGGGCGGGGTGGATGGGTGGGTGTGCAGCCTGCTGACCCTCTCCCGGCCTCACCCCCAGGAAGACGGAGCAGTGGCCACAGAAGCTGATCATGCAGCTCATCCCCCAGCAGCTGCTGGTGAGTGGATGGCACCAATCTGTCTCATCTCACAGTGCCGTATTTTCTTCCCCTGTCCCTGCCTGTGCCTCCCTCACTCCCCCAATAACACACTGGCTGCCCTTTTTGTCTCCCCAGACTACCCTCGGCCCTTTGTTCCGGAACTCGAGGATGGTCCAGTTTCACTTCACCAACAAGGACTTGGAGTCCCTTAAAGGCCTCTACCGCATCATGGGCAACGGCTTCGTGAGTCCTAGGCCAGCAGGACCCCAGGGCACGGGCTCTCCTCCCTCCTGCGGAGCCAGCCTGTGCACTAGATCTCCTCTGTTTTTTCTTAGGGCCTTAACTTTTATAATGATGATAACATGCACCAGAGCAAGGTACATTCCACACAGCAAACGTGACCAGCGTGTGACAGAATCCGTTAGAGGAAGCTGTTGATTCTGATGGGGTCTAATGAGAAAGGACTTCTTAACTAAGAACAGGCCCAGCTATTGAGTACTTTCTGTTTGCTGGGTGCTTTTCCAAAAGGGACCTTCATGAGAACTGTACACAAAGAAAATGTTGATGAGCGCTCTTGACACAGCTACAGATAGCACAAATCCAAGCATCAGGGCTTTTAGAACAGAGAATTGGGGTGGAGATGTAAAACAATTTACTGTCTCTTACAGTTCTGTGGTACACAGCTGGGCCATTCTCAGGTGGGACCTTTGTGGGGTTGCCATGAAGGTGGCGGCTGAGACTGTGGTCCTCACAAAGCTTGATGGGGCTGGACATTCCAGATGGGCCACTCACAGGGTAGCCGTCGGTGCTGGCTGGCAGCTGGGGGCTCAGCTGGGACCATGGCCATAGCACCAACACATGGCCTCCGTGGATAGCTTGGGCTTCCTCCCAGCATGGCAGCTGGGCTGTGAGAGGGAGTGAGTGTCCCAAGAGCAGCATTCTAGGAGCAGGGGTTTATTTTTGACACACACCAGGACATCAAGAGATGGATGGCTGCTGGGGTTGATTTTGTAGCTCTGTGATGTCAGGGCCAGGATCTCTGTGGTTCTCTTGGCTTCTCTCTCCCAGTCACCGGGTGGCTTTTGCAGCTCCAGGCGTCCTGTATTCTTTGATATAGGAAGGCAAGGGGAGGAGCCATGAACTTCCCTTCCTTCAGGGAAGCAGAAACTTCACACCTACCTCCCAGCAGGCCGCCCCTAACCCTCCTTGGCCAGACTCAGGTCACTGGGCCACCCCTGGTTGCGCAGGAGACTGCAGGAGGAGCCACCCCTGCACTGAGGCCTCGACACTTTGCTGCCCCCAAACAACCAGGGTTCTGTGGGCAGGGAAGAAGGGCAGATGGATATGTGGTAGGCCGCTACCCGTGTCCAACTCAGATGAGGAGACCGAGGCTCAGAGAGGTGAACTTACCTGGCCGAGGCCCCAGGGATAGGACTTCCACCTTGTCTGCTCCTCCTTTCCTCAAGGCCCTGTTCTTATGGCCTCCCCATGGCGATCAGTCTGGTTTACTGGGTACATCATGTCATAGTCCAGGACGCTGATGTACATGCTGTTATCCACGGTTTACACTGTGGCTGAAGGGTGTGGCTGCCTCCCAGGGGTCTCTCTGGGTCAGTCATAGCATCCACCATCACTGCTGACCATGAGCCTGAGGGTGCTGGGCTCCGTATCTAAGCTGTGAACCCCCAGTGACCTTTTGATGGGGGACGGCCTTGGTGTTTTACAGCTGAGGAAATGTGGCTTCTGAGGTAGAGGTGATTATTTAGGTCTTATGCCTACTAAGTTGAAGAGCTGGGGGCCTTTTCTTTCAGCTCTCCCTCCCTCCAGTCAGCAAAAATCCAATCCCTGCCCTGTGCCTTTGGGCACCCAGCTCCCCTTTAAGCCCCTCGGTTTCTGTCTCTGGAGCAGCCTCAAGCAGACCTCCAGTCTCCTCAACCTTTTAGAGCAGAAATCTCTCTCCCCCTTGCCTGTGGGGCTTCTAGAACCTAAAACGGGGAGAGGTGGGATTCTTCCTCCTTTTGGGTGTCACTGACTCTGAAGAGCTCCTCCCCCCAGGCGGGCTGCGTGCACTTCCCTCACACGGCCCCCTGCGAGGTGCGCGTGCTGATGCTCCTGTACTCGTCCAAGAAGAAGATCTTCATGGGTCTCATCCCCTACGACCAGAGCGGCTTCGTCAACGGCATCCGGCAGGTCATCACCAATCACAAGCAGGTCCAGCAACAGAAGCTGGAGCAGCAGCGAGGGGTAAGTGACCACAGCCCCCCAGCTCCATGCCCACCCCCATCCTGCTGGGCCCCAGAAGACCCAGGACCCCAGAGCTCAGGCTGCCAAACCTCCCAGCGATCCTCATGGCTCTCCACCACCAGACTCTTAGGCTCGTCCCCAGACGTGGCCAACCTGGGTTCATCCTACCCATGTATTTTCTTCCTGTCTTTCTCCTTTCAGCTTCCAGACCCCGCCCTCTCTTGGGGACTTGGGCATATTAGGTTTACTTACTTTACTACTTTTTTCCTCCTTTTAGCCTCTGGGCCACCCCTCCCCCCAAAATTTTCTCCTTCAGGGTCGGACCCCCCCCCACTCAGATTTAGGGCCACCCAGTCACTGATCTGCCTCATCTTTCCCACACAGATGGGGGGACAGCAGGCACCCGCAGGGCTGGGCCCCATCCTGGAGGACCAGGCGAGGCCCACACAGAATCTGGTGAGCACAGGGTCCTGGGTGGGTAGGGTGTTCCTGAGGATGCCGACACTCTGACCTGGCTTTGGGCAAGGAGCATGGGGGGCTCTGTCCCCTCGCCCTCACCCCGCCTCGCTTTCCTCCAGCTCCAGCTCCGCCCGCCGCAGCCCCAGCCACCGGGTGCTGTTGGGGCCACTGGTGCGGCAGGGCAGCCGCAGCCTCAAGGTGCCGCCCAAGCCCCCCAGGGAGCTCCCCAAGGCCCTCCTGGAGCAGCCCCTGGCCCACCCCCACCTGGCCCAATCCTTCGGCCGCAGAACCCCGGGGCCAACCCCCAGCTGCGGAGCCTCCTCCTGAACCCCCCTCCGGTGAGCTTTTGCGGGTAGGGGTGGGTGGGGGCCCCAGCCTCTGACACAGGTGGCCCTCTCAGCTGGAAGGAGGGCTGTTGGGTTTGCTCAGTGGTGTGAGAGTGGTGTTCCACTGGGTCTCCAGCCAAACCATCCCCTTTGTGTTCATCTTCCATTGGGCTTCTGCGGACGTCCCTTTGAAGAGAGACTCTCCTGAACCCCAGTTGAAACCTTCTCTGAGCAGTGTCTGAGTCAGATGCAGGGTGGTAGGTGGGGCTCCCCCAGGGCTGCTGAGCGCTCTCTGTTCCTCCAGCCCCAGAGTGGGGTGCCCCCACCCCAGGCCTCCCTGCACCACCTCCAGCCTCCAGGGGCTCCTGCTCTGCTGCCCCCTCCACACCAGGGCCTGGGGCAGCCCCAGCTTGGGCCCCCGCTCCTGCACCCGCCGCCCACCCAGTCTTGGCCTGCGCAGCTGCCCCCGCGGGCTTCCCTGCCAGGTAAGAGGACCCTGGGTGGGGAGGGCTGAACTTTGTCCCAGACGTCCTGGGCTGGAGCACCAAGACCAAGGGCTCCTGGAATCTGAGAACAAGGGGTACCCATAGCCTTTGGGGGGCTCTGAGGGCCCATGGGACTGAGTGCCTAGAGGGGCAAGAGATCCCTCCTGTGTGTGCTTCTTGGGTTGCCTGGAAGCGTCGTCCTGGGGCCAGAGCAACAGTTTGGGGGAAGAACTTCCGAAGTCTCATGGGATACAGCGTATGTGTGGCCAGTTGGGGTTGGCAGGCACCCCTCATGGGTCCCCCTGGGGCTTCCTAACAAACCTGGTGCCCTGGGCTCCCAGAGGAGGTGGGAGAAGGGCCTACTGGGAGATGCAGTCCCTTCCCACTGCCCCCCAGGTCAGATGCTGCTGAGCGGGGGTCCCCGGGGCCCGGTCCCCCAGCCGGGCCTGCAGCCCAGCGTCATGGAGGACGACATCCTCATGGACCTCATCTGAACCCCCGACACCCAATAAAGTTCCTTTTAACACACGCCCCGGCTCCCGTCACTGACGTCCCCCAGGACTGGGCAGGAGGAGACGAGGGGGGGACATACCACTGTCCTTGTTCTCGCCTCAGCAGACCTTGTGGATGCCCTGGGTGGGCGGGGCCAGGGCCTCAGCGATGAGTCAGACAGTCTGGTGCAGTCTGGCTTGGGGAGAGACCCACAGTTCCAGATGCAGGCAGGTAGAACGTGGAATACCACACGTTCTCATGGAGGCAGCAGAGGGTGATGTGGAGCCCAGGAAAGGCACACGACCCAGCTAGGGCATCAGGGCAGACTCCCTGGAGGAGGTAACAGTTTAGCCAAGTCAGGAAAGAGAAGTAGGAGGCGGAGAGGCCAGGCAGGAGGTGACTGGTGATCCAGGTACGAGAACGGCATGATGAATATGGGTGTCAGAGGAGCTAGTGGGTTTATGTTGCTGGAGCAGGAGTATGGGCTCCAAAGATGTGTGGGGCTAGGGAGGTGGGTGGGGCCAGATCCTGACCCCTGGCTTCGGGAGGGGGGCTTCGATTTCCAGCTAAGCAGCTTGTCTGGTGGGGGAAGTCTGTGTGCAGGGGTGGGGCCAGGATCAGCCCTGGGTATCAGAAAGACCACTCTGGGCTGGAGCGGGTAATGGAGCAGAGACAGCAGAGCAGGAGGCCTGGAAGCCAGGGAGGGGCTGGGGCTGGGGTTGTGGTCCTGAGGAAAGGAGGCCAGATCCAGGCCCTGAGCACAAAGAGGAAGGCTGGGTGGGGTCGAGTCAGGAGGGTTGGAGCTGGGGGCCAGGGTGCTGTGTGAAGGAAGTGGAGTGCGGGGCTGATGGTAGATGGTGGGGCCTCCATCGGTGTCCGGGGAACTGGGAAGAGGAGCAGATAGTGAGTGCCAGTGGTCCAAGGATGTCCAGGTCACCTTGGGAGCTCAGGACATGGACTTAAGGGCAGCGCATGTTTGGTAGTTGAAGTCGAAGAAGCAGATGAGACTGACTTGCCAGGCCTTTGGACAGGGTGGACTGTGGGACCATCCCCGTGGTGGAGAACCCCCAAGGCAAGAGGAGTGGGTTTGGGACGTGGTGAGGTGAGGGATCTGAGGGACGTCCCCAGAGATGACCAAGAGGCAGCCAAATACAGACATCTGGGCTGGCGACGGAGAAAGAGCTACCTGTTGACAGACTCTAGACCAGCGTTGCTTAGAGCGTGGTCCACGCCTGGACCACCCACATCGGAATTGGTTGGGACACTGGTTAAAATGCAGGTTCCTGGGCCCTGCCCTAGAAGAGAGGTTGCATTCTGGGGACCAGGTGTGACATGAGTTTTGTTTGGCCTTCCCTGTGTTAGCAGACTGGCATTTTTTGTTCTTTTCCCTAATGAGTTAGTTGTAAAAATCAGGATAACTTGCACACGCCAAAACAGTCCGCAGTCTTGGCTTCTCTTGACAAGTCCGCCGATTTGGCCCCGGGCCCACCCTTCTGCCTGGTGACAGTGGGCTGGAGCTGCGGCCCCGCGGCCCCTATAGATGGGGCGTGTGCTCTCCGATTCGCCACAGTCCCCACCACTCCCTCTTGGCTCCCCCACTGTGAGGCAGGGGGTCCATTCCCATGAGTTACAGGGCTCACGCTGTGGGGTTCCCCCCCCCATGGTGACATTAAGAGGAAAGTGAAATCTCTCTTGTAACCATGTCTCTATCAAAAGCGGCAAAACGAAAGCGAGGAGAGGGCCGCGTGTTTCGAGAGAAATGGGAACGAGCCTATTTCTTTGTGGAGGTGAAGAGCATGCCTACGTGTCTAATATGCAAAAAAATCGTGTCTGTGTTGAAAGACTACAACCTGAGGCGTCACTATAAATCCAAGCACAGCAAGAGCTACGACCAGTACACGGAGCAGACGCGTGACGCCATCCTTAGCGAGCTGAAGAAGGGCCTCGAGTGTCAGTAGGGTTTGCTCTGGAGCGTGAAGAAGAGGTGTTAACGTGGCTGGCAGACAAAGGGACGGAATCACGTGGAAAGAATTACCCAGGCTTGGAAACTTCCAGACGGCAAGGTTTACACAGGAGCAGGATGACATGTCCCAAACAGAAACACACCCGCTTAAGTCTGACGGGCATTTTGTGCAGCACGGCCAGTCAGAAACGAATCAGGATTTACAAGTCCAGCTGCTTGAGAGCACCAAAACAACTGTGGCCTTTCCTCTCACTGCTGCTCATGAACTGTCACCACCCAGTTGGCTTTATTTATCGGTGGCATTGAGAGTTTCGATGTGAGCAAAGGACTCTGTGGCCACATGGTGCCAAGGCAGGCCTAGCCCTGGGGAATGACTTCTTTTCCATGGACTGAGAGAGATGCAAAGTTTCACTCATGTAGGCCAGGCAGAATTCTTAAGCACAACAACAGACGGTTGTGGTCATCCAGTGACCTGTGTCACTGTGGGGCGTGTCAGGGCACCTGGATCCAAGGTGGCCATTTTGGCAAGGATGCAGAAGTCAGTCATTGTGTCATTTCCTGGGAATCGAATCAGTCTAAGAAACTAAATGGAACATCGTGGCCATCACTGACACTCTGCTCTTCCGTGCTATCACCACTGGCAGCTTGACAGTGAGCCCGACCTGATCCATTTCACAGGAGCTCAGTGACTTGGTTGTCCCATGATGGTGTGGAAGAAACCAGAACTGTTTAAATAAATCTACCTGGTTCCTTTCAAATAAGGAAAATGTCAGAGACTTCGGGTCGAGGTGATGCCCTTTCTGAACACCGACTGTTTCTCCACAAGGACATCCCCAAACAGCTACTTGAATGTATGATTGCATTTGCTCTATTCTGGTTGGAAACGGGGCCACCGTTGGCAAGGAACAGTGTGGCTTCCTTCCCTTTGCCAAAATTGGTGTCCAGAATGGAGGTGATAGCCTGGACCATATTCACCCACATTGTGGGGTTGAAGACCGAATCTCCCAAAAGGCTGTCTGCATTATGACTTGATGAAAATGAACCAACTCTGTCCAGTTACTGTTGACTGTGGGAATGCAGATCCCACATTGGAGTTCTGGAAGTACAGTGCAATAGGGTGTGGGCCCCTAAATGCGATGATGTCCGAAAACCAATATTCTGCAACTACGCCAAGTAGTAGTCCTGATTATCCAGGCATGGAAGTGCCTCATGCTTGCGAACAGCTGTTTTCCGTTAAGACGCAGATTGGACTCCAACATGGTGCCCAGCTCAAGGGTTCAAGGTTGAGTTCTCAACTGCTCATGGCTCTGTGACATCCGTGACCTGACCCTGACATCTTGGGGCTGAAGGGAAGAGGTCAGTCTCCTGGCTTCAAATCAAAAGAGCAAAAGCATTGTGAGAGAAATTTTAATAATGAAATACTTCTATTTTTCAATTTGTATTTTTTCAATTTTGACTTTAAAATATAACCCCCCCCATACATGTTTGTATTCTGTTCCATGCATTCACCACAGTTCAGTAAAGATGCAATTTGATGATATTTCTGGCAGTCGGCTTTTCTTATACCTGGCTAGTTCACTCATTTGTGTGACCCGCCTGGCTCCTGTAGGCATTTGAGTTTTCAATCCCTGCCCTAGAACTGTTGATGCGGAATCTGGGGGAGGGAGGGAGGCTGGGAATCTGGGTTTTGAACAAGCTCCCTGGGTGGTTCTTGTGCAGTGCATAGTGGAGATGGAGTAGGAGCCGCTGGTAGTAGTTGAAGAGGTGAATTGGGTGCGATGCCCCAGGCAGCAGGAGCAGCAGAGGATTTGCAAACTCAGATGGTTCCAGGGACCAGGCAGGTGATGAAAATGTGTGACGCGATGGGTGTAAGACAACAGGGAATGCTGGTGACTGTGGCGAACTTGGAGAGTGCTGGCCCCGCCTAACGGCATTCAAATTGAAAAGAAAACAAAACAACGCTGTGAGGACCAAACAAAACCTGTCTGTGGGTCGAATGAGGCCGCGGGCTGCCAATTCGTGCCCTGTGGAAGAAGGAGAAGCCTTGAGCATAGGGACAGAGCCCTGCGGCCCACGTGTGAGGGTTGGGCAGGGAGCCAGAAGATGGGAGGAGAAGCCGGCACATGTGGTGTGCTGGAAGCTGCGAGTGTTTTGGAGGAGGGAGTGATGGAGTGACTATGTCCAAAGCCGCTGAAGGGAGAGGACGAGGGAGTAGCCATTGCTGTTTCCACCTGGGTAGAAATTCCCCCGCAAGGAAACACAGATTGGTTCTCAAACAAATTGGGCAAAAAGAAGTGTTCCCAGTTGCTGGTCTGGTCGTCTCCAGCCGGTGAGGCCTTGACTGTCGCACACATTTCAGTGAACTACAGGGACCAGCACTGTCCCATCACAGGTGCATATTCCCACTGGGGAGGCAGAAGAAATGCTCAGAGTATGAGGAAAGATCTAGGCACAGAACTCATGTCTACATTTCACAGTCTGGGGTGACAGTGACACATAGGGGCTTAATGCACTTCTCAGAGGAGCCCCTGGGTGGTGCAAACAGAGAATATGCTCGGCTGCTCACTGAAATGTTGGCGCTTCAAGTCCACCCAGAGGTGCCTCAGAAGAAAGGCCTGGTGACCTACTCAAAAATCACCGATTGAAAACCCTGTGGAGCACAGTTCTACTCTGACACACATGGGGTCGTTGCGAGTCAGAGCCGACTCTACGGCAACTGATGCTTCTCAGAAGCAGCTAGCACCAACAGAGTGGGTCTTTGGGGAAAAAAAAATTTTTAATGTAAAGCACTATTGTGTGCCATCGAGTTGATTCTGACTCTTAGCAACCCTGTAGGACAGAGTAGAACTGCCCCATAGGGTTTCGAAGGCTGCAGTCATTTACAGAAACAGACTGACACATCTTTCTTCCTCGGAGTGGCTGGTGGGTTCGAACTGCCTACCTTTTTGGTTAGCAGCCGAGCGCTTTATCCATTGCGCCACCAGGGTACTATTAAAAATGCTTAAAAGTAGAAGAAACAGACAAATGGAAGTGGTGAAAACCTTAGTACAGAGCAGGTTTCAACCCCGGCTCCT